GAATGATTTGCCTTGTATTGGGGATGTTTATTTGGTTTGCAGTGTGTTTCTTTTCGTCGTATATTTTGGGGTAATTATATTTGTACATGCCTCACGCTGATTAACAGACCGTGGAGTGTAATTATAATCCCAATCCTCTGTTGTATTTATATTTCAGGGGTAGCGGCCTGAGTCGGGTCCTGTCTCGCTGGTGGTGGTCCTCACTCTAGCTGGTGCAATTTACTTGGCCTAGGTACCTATTGTGCAGGTGCTTGTAGGGGGGTAGGGGCCCTGCGAACCGCCCAGAGGTCCAGTCTGAGCGAGTGTCATCTGTCCTTCGATTGGGGAATGCCATGTTGCCAGCCCTGGAACCGGTGTTGACTGCTTCAGGGGAATAGCAATCCTGTGTTGCGCCAAATAAACTGTTGATTTGAGCTGCGTCTCTGTCCTACTTCGTTACACGAACGTCTATATCTATATTCCTGGGAGTATGTCTCTGGGTGCAAGGCTTGGGGTGGCGTAGTCTGCAATTTTGGGTATCTCTTCAGGGTCTTGGTTATGGACTGCTCATGCCACACCATCATCAATGTCAAGAAAATACAACTTCCCATTACAGCCAGTTATGAACCACTGGTCCAGTGCTGCTCAAACGGAACCCACAGTGCTGCCTGAGAACCCACATTATTTCTTGGTCTGTAACTCACAACAATTTACTGTATCAGGGGGGTGGCAAATGTAAAACTGGTGGANGCTCAGTGGTAATAATAATAATAATAATAATAATGGGCTGCATGGTGGTGCAGTGATTAGCACTGTTGCCTCCCTGGTTCCAGGCTCCATGTGTGTGGCATTTCCATGTTCTCCATGTGTTCTTGAGGGGTTTCCTCTGGGTATTCTGGTTTCCCCCTACAGTCCAAAAACCTGAGGTTAATTTGAGCTGCCAGATTGCCCACAGGTGTGCCTGTGTGAGTGAATGGTGTGTGACTGTGCCCTGCGATGGGTTGGCGCCCCACCCCCGGGATAGGCTCTGCAGCCCCCTCAACCCTGAATAGGACTAGTGATTACAGAAAATGAATAATAATTTAATGAGTAATAAAATATCATAATTAAAAATATATTATATACACTACTGTGCAAAAGTCTTAGTCAAAGAAAATCATGTTTAGATGATCTTCATGTTGGTGTAGAACTATGGTATGTCTGTCAAAGTGTGTTAGCTTAGCCATTTCCGAGCCTCTTTTAAAGTCACCCCGGTATTTGAAGCAAACGTCCAACACACCCACACATTTTCTGACTTGACCACTACCACAAATCATTTGGCTAATCAATACCTCATTGGGTTATTTAACAAATTTTGCTAATCAATTAAATGAACCGGTGGAGAAATGTAACAAACACAAGGGATGGGTGAGGTGCCCCTAAGAAGGGGTTTGGAGACTGTGATCTAGCCATCCCACAAGATATTATAGAAACTTTTTGGAGAACAGAAGAAATTCTGGTTTATTTTTTGTTACTGTTAATTTTATTATTTTCTACTGTTGAATTATTTTTTTCTGAGCACATACTGTACACACTTTCTCCACACTTTTCTTTGACTGCCTAAGATTTTTGCCCAGTAATGTATATAAAAACAAGCCCATAGGGGATGGGAAGCGCTAATTGATACGTAGGGAGGATCCAGTAACGCACAGAACAAATCCTTGATGTTAAACAGCAAAGGGAGACTGGAGCTCCCACTTAATAAACCCCTCTTAGCCTGGAGACATGCTGGATTTCATTATTTTTAATGGAATTTTGAAGCTTTGAAAACATAGCTGAGCACCATTACAGCCGACGTAAATCGATAACGGTTTCTAAACAAGCCAGTGAGACATCAGGGGTAGAAATGTTTTTTTTTTTTTCCATTAACAACTTGTCCCCTTTCCATAACTCAAAACAAATTTTTCTAGAAGGCACAGTTTGATACTAGCTTGTAAGAGTGAACATGAAGCAGGCTTTTGAAATGCAGCCATCCATTACTGCATACCCACTATAGAGTCATAGGCAGCTTGGAGCTCACAGGCACCTCAGACACCTTGGATGGGATGCCAGTCCATCACCAGGCACACAGACATACATACGCTCTGGGCGATTTAGATTGGGTGTGGGGGAGGGTACAATATGTGGGAAAATATAGGACAGATCCCATATCCTTGAGGACCAATACAAGATACAGTATTTTATTTTTCAGTATAGGCTGATCCCCGAATTTGCAAGATAGGTGGAACCTCTACCCCCATCATTCTGCGGACTGGGGGTTTGGAACCCCTAAAAACTGGATGCACCAGTCCACCTACGTGCCTGTTATTGCGATGCAGAAGGAAACTGTAGTACCCAGAGGAAGCCCATGGAGACAGGGGCATATACACAAACTGTGCACACAGAGCCAGGGGCAGGAATGGAATTCGCAATCCAGGAGGTGTGAGTCAACAACACTGCCGATTGTCACACTATTTAATGAGTTTACAGAGGTTTTCCCAACTATTTTCTCCAGCGTGCTTCACTGGGGTCTTTGTTTCATGTACTGTATGATTTTACAGAGTTCCATCAATCCCTTGCAGAATTTACAGGGTACACTGATGTTCCTCGGTGCTAACTCCGCAATAGCTTGTACATTGTGTCTCTTATTTGAACCAACCCTTGATAATAAGGACTTCTTTAAGGATCAGTGTAGAGTACTAATGTCATTTGCAGCATGCTCAAGTGACCGAAAAATTAAAAGGGTATTTTAATTTGAAAAGCAATTTGCCGAATCAGGAAGGATGACATCTCTTGCACATACTTATCCAGTTCAGGTTAACACCGGAGGCTTAGAACCTATACCAGGCAGCCTGGGGTTCAAGGTTTACACCCTAGACACATTTTGGGTAATTTAGCAACTAGCTCACCAAGGCATATCTGGACTGCGGGATTAAACTGGAGAACCTGGAGAAAACCCACACAGCATTCATACTTACAGAGCCTGGGCAGGATTTGAGCCCCAAACCTGGTGGTGTGAGACGGAACCACAGGGGTACTGGCCCCAGTTGAATGCTTATTGGCCCCTGGAGTGCCCCACCCCCTGTCACTCACCAATTTTAAACATATCATTGGCTAATGATACGGTTGGCCCCTCTGTGTGTATTATGGCCCCTCTTATGTCCCCCCACCTTAAAAAATCCCTACAGGCAAGGCCGCTATCCACTGAGCTACCATGCTGCGCTTAACTTTAGATGCGATGCCAGTGTTAAGATAGTTCTCAAAGTAAGAGCTTGAAAAACCTGCTGAGTCAGGAGGAAAGAAGAGATGAAAGCTCAGTCCGTCACACCTCCAAGGGCGGCTCTCTATCGGTCACATGGCGGGATGGCGGGGAGCTAGATGGATTGGCCCCTGGGTTCTCCAACCCATTTTCATTGGCATTGAGCCATGTCAGTCATACAAAACAAATTGCAGTTTTACCATATTTACTTATGTATGTGTGCAACTAGAATTTTTGTAGCTCCCAGGATGAACTGCATGCAAATGTACATACAGTCCATCCTCTTCAGATGCCCCAACACCCCCCCAATTTTACTCTTAACCCCAGTGTCCCCTCCTCCCATGCCCCCTGCCATGAATTAACCTGGAGGCTCCGCTGCCTCTGTACGATCCACAAAGTGAGACGCAAAGTGAGATGGGGTGGTTCTAAATAAAATCTGCATTTCCTGTCTCCTCTCTGTTATTTTTGGTCCCGTCTCGCTGCAGGATTGCTAATGTGGTATATTAGCTAACGGCACGAGACACGTCTCATCTGTGTGGGGGCGAAGCTTGCAGACGGAAGACTGCCTACGTGTACGCACACACGCGCACACACACACACACACACACGCGCGCACACACACGCACACACGCGCACACACACACACACAAAGCCAGCACACGGCTGGAGACCGCCAGCTTCCTGACACCCCTGACAGCAGAATCGGGACCTGCTGTGAAACGGGGCCCCTCCACAAAGACAGCCAGCAGCGGGGGCCATTCTTATCAAGCATGGCTGCATATCCAGAAAACAGAAATCTGTCCCAAAATACAAAGTTAAAAGTCTGCAGGAAATAGTGCCAAAAACAAAAATCAAAAACAATACAGTGGCTCAATGTGTAGTGGCGCAGGCACACACGCTGAGGGGGTTGGATCCCACATTTGCTCTGTGCGTGTGGATTTTGCATGTTCGCCCCCTGCATTGCGTGGGTTTCCTCCTGCAGTCTGAAGACAGGCACCTACATGAACTGGTGACTCAAAAATGCCCTTTTTTGTGGGACCTCTGATGGTGTTACGCCCCCCTTGCTTTCTCTTATGGCCGCTCTGATATGCTGGGATCACCTTCAGCCCGGTGACGGCTGTCGTGACCCCCCCCTCTTACCCCCCAAACTGAGACTCCAAGCTGCCAACACAGGCCCGAGAGCCTGCAAACGTCGCACAGCTACGGAGGGGGGGGAGAGGCAGCTGGCAGTGGGCTGCAGCACCGATGGAACCATGAAGGGCAGAAAACAAAAAGTTTCTCTGCAATATATAACTTTCCTTCAGAATTTCTCTTTACAAGTTATAAGAAATTCAAAATACTGTACATACTGTAAATGTATTTGATAGCAAAGAATATTGAGTGTATTTTTAGTAAATGTTAATTGACATGTAGTAACATGCAAATGTAGAAAATCTCAGTGTGTGCAAAAACATTTGACTGGTAGCGTAGCTGCATTAAAATCTGAATGTTTTCCGTCTTTCCTGTCTGAACACCTGTAGCATCTGTGTATTTATTACAGAACTGATTTGCGAGATTCGTGGAACTGGTGATGCACAGAGTAACGGCACGGGATAGTGAGAGAACCATAGCTCTTATCAGAGCAAGACTGCAGGTGGATGGATGGGGATGGGTGGGACTGGGGTCAGGGGGTGTGGTCTGGGTGGGACTGGGGTCAGGGGGTGTGGTCTGGGTGGGGAATGGGTAAAGGCAGGATGGTGCTTACCAGAAGTACCACAGCCTCTGTATGGACAGGGCCCTGACGCAGCAGCGAGTGCCACAGCAATCCTCATATGACCGGCATCTGCAAAAACAAAGCCCAGTTACAGCTTCCACCCCGAGCACAGCGCCGTGGTGATGGAGATTATGGGATGCATGTGGGCATTTCCGCTTACACGTCGGCTGATTATCTTATATTTCGAGCCTGTTGGTGTCCTAAGTAGCTGCGGAAATCCCACACCAAGTACACTAGTCAAAATGAGTGATCATGAACTTCATATTACCCTATGATGTTAATTTGTTATAGTCAATTTGCAGCCTCATATCTTGCTCAGAGTAGAAAACCAGCATTTCTTTTTGGATTCCCACCCTTATTTTTTCCAGTACTGCTGGAAAAACCCATTGAAACATCACCCATCCATCTGAATGCTGATTGAAGACCAAGAACTAGAATTTAGTGATCAGTGGTCATTGTCAACACAGCACAGCACACAGTGCACAACAACGAAATGTGTCCTCTGCATTCAACCCATATGTGACTTTAGTGACATAGCAGGGGGCAGCTAATTCAGCGCCCGGGGACCAGTGCTTGGGGGCGGGACCTCACTAAGGATACCTTAGTGGTGCCTTGCTGGTCAGGGATTCGAACCTGCAATCTTTCGATTACAAGTGCACTTCCCTAACCATCAAGAAACCACTGCCCACACTATAGTTCATGATAATCTGGCCACATAGTATCAAACTGCTGACTTTGTTTCACGTAAGCGATGGAGTCTGGTCAGGGCTCTGCTGGTAAGGATTAGCTTTCAATGAGGACCTCCTATGAAGCTCCCATGCTCATCACAGTTAACGAGGTACAGCGGGTCGAAGCTGGGTGGTGCTCGAGTGCCTGATGGCCGTGAGACAGTCTGGGAGGGAGATTAAATGGAGCTCAACTGGAACCTGGATTGGCAGAGCAGATCTGAGACCACGGGCATCACCATGGGGGTCTCCCCAGAGCTGGAGATTCCTTGCATCATTCCTCAGCGGTTGTGCACAAGCTGAGGTCTTAATTATATATACAGCCACCACAGGGAGCCCAGATCACATGCTGGCTGAATACAAATCCATGGCCTGCTCAAAAATATCACTGTCCAACTATAAGCTTGGTGATCATTCTCCACAATTCCATGGACAGCAGGGGGAGCAGTAGTTAAGGCTGTGTGTAGACAACAGGAGATCTGCCACAGTACTCTTGACCAAAACGCTTAGCTTTTATTTCTAACATTAAAAAATCTCAGAAAATGCAATAGCAGTGTAAAACTTGTATATTAAGCGATAAATGCAAATATATAAATGTAGGTTGGTTGTATTTTCATTAAAAATTGATTTTTGATGTTAAATAATCTGCTGTGTATGGCCACGCTTGGTAAACATATGCACACACACAAACATCTGTCCTTATGGAAACATTCAATATTGTTCTTACACCTCAAAAGGCCACTGATTAAAAAATAATGTGCTGGATGTGCTAGAATCTGGCTGTTCCCTCTGTTGGCTGTGATTCATTCTACAGCAGGGCAGAGACTTAGATCCTTAATGCTGAATGCTAGCAAGATGTTGCCAATTGTCCTATAAAGGACATATCACAGCAGCCACTGAAGCAGGGGCCGAAACCAGCGCGGATACTCCCTCTAGTTTGGGAATCAAACAGCCCGTGAGGAGTCACTGTAAAATGGATTGGTGCTGTGCTGCAATTGTTCAGCCTGTCCACTGTGAGCGCTGTGTACCTGCATCTTTATGAGAGATCTTCCTCACTGTCACCGTGTGCATTTGACAGAAACTTTTAGCTTTTGCTAAACATTTTCCATCAGTTTCTCTCAGAATATTTCGGGGGGGCATGACACCTGCTTCTCCAATCATTTAAGTGTAATGTTTGCAGTAAAGCATTATAAATGAAATCCACTCGATTTTAATGAACTATTTTTCTGTTTAATTGAGGGAAAATCGCAGAAGAAACTGCCCTGTAGGTACACAAATGACTGGAATTGAGACAGATCTGAAAATTAACTGTATACATAGCCCACATATTAAGAGAGAGTGAGACAGGAATTCCCCCATGTTAACAGCATCAAGGTTCTGCAAGGTTCGTCGTCCATAATAGCTAAACACTTCCAGCTTCATTTTAACTGGGCTATTATTCACATTCCTACTGGAATTCCTACTATTGATTATATCAGTACAACTGTGCAGAATCCCAACCGTATTTGAATAGTTAATCAGCCGGGCTAATAAATAATTCAATAGACACTCAATGGCCAATTTCCCCCTGTTTCTGTTTGTTGTGCATTAATGCCATCGTACAATATCTGCAGCTCAGCCCAACACTGATTATGCACCTTTTCCTTCCTCTCTTGCATTCCCAGTAACTTCCACCACTTTCTTGTTTACCTTTCTCAATTATCAAAGAGGGTGAATACACCAGCTATTTGCCGGATCTTTCATTCCCAGCTTGTCTGCTTAGATTTACCATTCAAGTGCTACAGGTATTTATCTGTCTGTATCAGTCTCAGTCACCGGAATCCACACCTGCAAGAAACAAACAAGCCTCCCCAGATCTGTCCACCAAAGTACCTCACTAATGAGCATCTGCATTTGTGGCCTTAAGTGCTAATTGAGTCTTTTTCTGAGATCCATTTCAGATTTCCAGTTGATGAGGCCCTGTCACGGTTTCCTGGACATATAACAGACACCCACAGAAGTCCATTTGGTTCAACCTGGACCCAGCACTGTAATTTCCGCAGGGATATGACAACAGAGCGCAACCCCAAGACAAATGTCAAAGGCTCTGACGGCCTCGCCTTCTACCCAAAGACCCGTCATAATCATAATCACTGTGAGCTCTGCTGCGTCTGGAGTGATTCACAGAGTGCCCTTCTTCACTGAGTGCCATAACTTCACCGTTAACTTCCTGATTGTGCTCCTATTCAGATGATTTTGCTGTAAGATCCTTGCTTTCCGAACTGCCTGACGCTTCACTGCTGATGGATTCACACAATCGTGGAACACATCTGTTGTTAAGTGACATCTTCACTATAACACAGTATCTCTCAGTGAGAACTGTTGAAAGAGAAACTCTATTTATATACAGCTGAATCAATCGATTCTTTAGTAAAAGTCATGCAGGAACAGTTTTGTGCTCACTTAAAATTTCACTCGAAGATTATGGCATGATTGTTACTGAAAGATGTTCATCTATAGCTTTCGGAGAGGATTTTGCTCATTTCATCTCCTATACTGTTATGTTCTTTTTGTAACATTTGTCATATTTGTCTATCTCTGAATCATGCTGGTGCCCATGCAAATGTTTTTTTGGTGACATGGTCTTTTAATCATGGGCGTAAATTACGGGGGGGATGGGGGGCTTGCAGCCCCCCCAATAAATCAAGACCAGTTAATACAACCCCCCCAATAATCATGTTTCCCCCGTAATGGGTGGAGACCTCAACCCCCCCAATGTTCCAGCCAAAGTTACGCCCTTGCTTTTAATCATGTGCAGTTAGCCTCAAACCTCCAGAATGTTGGGCTAAATTCCGCCCCCCTCCATTGTGTGTGGCGTTTACATGTTCTGGCCACATGTTTGACCATCTGTGTGTGTGTGTGTGTGTGTGTGTCCCCTGTGATAATTCTCTGATCCAGGATGCCTTCCGTCACATACCGTAATCTTCGTAGGATACACTCCAAGTTCACAGCCACTCCACGCTGGAATAAAAGTATGTCTCTCGGGGAGAATGAGCCTTTAAATCCTCAGCAACCAAACAGAAAGTTTCCACACTCAAAGTAGAAATACACTTTTCTTTGGGTGGGGGGGTAATAGCAAACTATTCAAGACTTAAGCCAATAAATACACATTTATTTGGGGAGCTAAAAAGCTCCCCTAAAATAGGCCTAATAATGCCACTGGTTATGGCTACTTTGAATGTTATTGTTAAAATCTTATCACAAGTTCTACAATTACACATTGTATTTAAAATGATGCAGTGCATTGTTCAAAAATTTAGCTGATTCCAGTACCTTCCCTGGTCACACTGTTCAAAAAGATTTCAGGAAATTCCAGAGAATCCCTGTCTACAAAATCAGGGAATGTTTCCTCCACCTTCCCCCTTCTTAGACCCCCCCACACTGGCTAATTAAAATAAGTAACACTGACTGCTCTTGTCTGCCTGCTCTTAGCCAATATCAGTGCAAGTTCAATACTATTTGCTGCTTATTTTTTGTTGAGTCCTTTGGGGCAAAAGCACGCAGATTGACGGTGCATAAAAATAAACCGAATTGAACTGAGCTTAATATAATTTCCGAAAAGACATGCCGAACCTCTGCTGTTACTTCAATCGATGTTACTCAAAGGCTTTCAGGTGAAAAACTCTCAGTGGTTCACCAGGAAGATTAAGCTACACAAATTAATCTGGATACAACTTTGGGTATTATGCTTTAACATGATTAGTGTCCTAATTCGAGTCTAGTCATTGCACCTCAAACCGTTCTGCTGGTGGCCAAATAGCAGCGTTTGACTGGGTGAGACTCCACCCAATCAGAGTCTTGCAGTGTTATCCTTCACCAGAGGGATTTTGTTGTTTCTGGAGCCCCAGTCAAAAATCCACCCCCCAAATGTTTCAGAGAGAAGATGAGTCAGAAGATCATATCTAGGTAACTTTTTAGCAGAACGTGCTGCTTCAGCATCTCCTAAATAAGGAAGGAGTTTATTTAATATTTTGTGTAGTGACTATTTGGAGCCAACAGGGGGCCCCCAAACATGCCGGGCCCCACACAAATGCGTGCCTTGAGTGACGGTAAACACCACCTCTGCTCCTTCAGCAGGGCAAAGGGGGCACGTGGAAGCAGCATCCCTGGTCCCGATCTGTCATCCTTTCCTAAAACAGGGCTCTGTTTAAACACGGAACCTAACGTTCCATCCCACCCTAACCCTAACTGCCAGCCACAGACAGACGGACGCCAACAACAGCTTGGCTTCTGGTCTACGGAATCGCTTTTAGAACAGGAAGGTCGCTGAGTGGAATTTGTCAGTCATTTGCATAAGAGCTGCGTTG